TCTGAGTAGTTACAAAAGGCACTTGAATTAGGCTGAAACAAATTGAAGCTTCCATTTACATACAGGGTATTGACTAGTCGTGCTTAATGTCTGGCTATAATTTTGATTTTCTCTAGGTTTATGGGTTGCCTTTGGCTTTTGGGGTCTGTGTTTGTTGTTTTCGCAGGAAATGAGCGAAAATCATTGTCTATGCTGTCTGTGGGGTCCGGCCTAATTTGCCAGCCAAGGCTCAATGCATTTTTTGTTTGCGGCTTCGGGTTCAATGGACGCGCCAGCAGAAGGCGTGCCTTTGACTGGATTGTGTGTGAGTGTATGTGAGATGATAGAAGAAGAAGAAGAGGAGAAGCACCTGCATTGCAACAAGTCTAGCGCCTTGTGTCGTGTCGCCAGCTTGCAGTGCTTTGTAATTCTTTGGAATTGGTTCAAGGACATTGCTCAACTCGACATCTGCGTGTCGCTCGCTTATGAGTTTGCAAATACATATTTCTAGTTGCTTGTTTGCCTAACGCGGCGTATGCGTAATTTCGCTTAATACGCCGCGTGGGCGGCCAGCATTGTGCTGGCACAGTTGGACAGGCATTGCTCTAAAGCACACACACACACACACACGCATCCATATGGCACATGTGGCCGAGCGCAGCTAAATCAACGCGGCGCATTCTGTGCCAATTTGTGGGCCACAGATCGCACACACACTTCGCGTGCATAAATCATAGCCAACTATTTGGTTTATTTATTAGCTTTAATGCAAACAAACTGACCATGGAGGACGAATGCTCGGCTCCGACTAGAGGCGATTAGCATTTAAATAGGCCGCAATTAGTTACTATGGCATAGGCCTGTTGCACATCTATCGATAAATAGAGTCTACATCGATAATAGAATCACGAAGGATCGGAGACTTAGCTAGTTTACAATTTGTATGGTACTTCAGCAGTTCTCTTTTCTGTTTTCACTTTTTTACTGAGCACTATAACTAGAGAGTAATTTAATTTATCGATAACATAGTGTAAGATCTTTCACCACTTGCAGTGGTAAAGTTCTGTCGAAATTCGAGTTACTCTACTAACTAGTAGATCACACTCAGTAGTCACAAGCTAGCCACTGCTTAAGAGTCTATCGATAACACAATTCGTGCTTAGCTCGAATTATTTATCGATTACATTCAGAAAGACTACATAGAGTTGTTGACTAAAACTACTCTTCTATGTTTCAATAAGCCAACTCCATATATTCAATACTCAAATTGATTGCTGAATATTTATCGATAAATATGCAAGCATTGTTATCTATCAAATTTAGTTTAGTCACCTCAAGTATTGCTTTGAGACTACATATAAAAACCCAAAGCAAATGCTGATATTGAAAATCATGCGCTAAGAATCCAAGTTGAAGAGTTTGCGTTTGTTTTGCTGCTGCCAGATAGGCCCATTCAGGCCAACTTTTACGCACAACAACAACAACAAGAATAGCTCGAAAAGTTGACAAAACAAGTAAACACATAAAGTCGAGAGACGCGACACGTGACTATGCAGTTTAATAAGCCGGCTGCTGTCCACGCTCGCCCCACTCCAGCGCAGCCCCCACTCCACGCAATCAAAATGTTATCGATATGGCAGCGCACACACACACACACACACACACACACAGAGATATCGCAGTAAGCACTACACGTAGCAACTCCAATTATGATAGGCGGGAGAGACGCTCGGGGGCGGTGCTGGTGGCCAGACAATGTCGCAGACGCAGCGCAGACAACGCTAAAAGGCAGCCAAACAAAATGACAACAACAACAACAACCAAGTAACAGCAGCAACAACAACAGCGAGTGTACAACAAAAGCGAAAGGCCTGAGAAAAATTACCGCACACAAAAGTTTGTTCAACTTCGTTGTTGTTGTTTTAAGTTGTTTGTTTGTTGTTGTTGTTGTTATGTTTTGTTGGGATTTTTCGATATTTCGATTTTTGATTGATGAAATTTCAGCTGAATTTCAAGTGCTGCATTTCCGCCCCAAAAACTATGCGTGAGCTAAATGCATTCCCATACAAACATACATATATGATGTATGTATATATGTGTATATATGGTATATACATTATTTAGTATTTTCCTAGTGATATGACATATGCAACTGTAGCATGGCTCGCCTTTGGCCACTTTCTAGCTGGCATTATCGTTGGCCACCTTATCGACGTTTATCAATGAGCGCCGCGGCTGCGTCGGTGTCGGCCTGAAAGGGTAGTTGGGTGGCCTGGGTGAATGTGTGTGTGTGGGGGGTCTGGAGCTCTATGCACATTTGACCTACATTTCATAAATGTCTCTGTGCAACAAAGACCTAAAGTACACAATCAAAGATATAGGTGAAGAGAGATATACATACATATGTACATTTGTATGTATGTATATATATGTATGTATGTATATATATATGTATGTATGTACATATATGTATATGCCTGCGCGGAGGTATCTCAGAGAATGAGAGAAATTTGGTAGTTGGCTGAGTCAGCAATCTGGCAACGCCAAACAACAGTTGTGGTAATAATGAGAGAGAGAGAGAGAGTTGTAGAGATATAGAGGGGAAGAGGGATATAGATACTAGAATAGATAACAGATAAAAGGAGCGAGAAAGAGAAATAAAAGGACGAAGAGAATGAAAAAGGCAAAGACAGTGAGGTAAGAATGTAGAAGAAGAGAGAAAAATTAACAGAAATGAACAGACCGAAAGAGAGGAGAAAAAGAGAGAGAGAGAGAAAGAGAAATAAACAGTAAGGTAGTGAAGGAGAGAGAGAGAGAGAGAGAGAGAGAGAGAGAGAGAGAGAGGAACAGATGGGGCAGAAATGGAGAGTTGAGATAAAAGGGAAAGAATCATAGAATCATAGATGCGAGGGAGAGCTAGAAAAAGATAAATAATACCTAGAGGAAAACGCATGAAAAGAGAACGTCAATCGGGAAAGGAGAGAGAGAGAGAGAGAGGAACAGAAAAGTAGTAATATACATATTGACGGGGCAGACGGAAACACTATATCAATGGTGAAAGAGGAGAAAATTATCAATACTGAAAAAAGAGAGAACGACCTCAAGATTTTTTGAAATCAAAATATTATAAAATCAAAATATAATAAAATAAGAGATCTGGCTGCTTCGTTTCAAAACTCAATTGAAATGCACAGTTAACGAGTTGAATAGAGGTGTACTAAAGTATGAGAATAGATTATATTTAGCATACGGGACTGACAACCGAAGTTCTGGCAGTTAGATAAGAGCTGAGAAAGAAAGATAGAGACGAGTCTTCATTGGGAGCTATATCATATCTATGTAAGCTAAATTGTATCACTCAACAAATGAAATATGATGTTTAGGCAACGAAATACGGGCAGAGCGAAATATATATAGAGAGAGAGAGAGAAATCAAAATCAAAATCAAAATCAAGTAAATAGCCATAAAATAAAATTGACACTTGAAATCAATTGCCTGACTAAAAATAGTCGAACTGAAACAGATCTCCCCCATGTGTCTGTCTAGCTGTCTGTCTGCTGCAACTTGTTGCAGTCATAAATTGATCAACAGCGGAAAATATTGAACAAAAACATTTCAGATGTGTTTATATGGGTCACTGGGGAATCGATTGAACGTCGAAAAACAGAAAATGGCAAACGAATTGAAGAGTTAATTGCAAGCAGCGGTCAAATGGAAAAGTTAATATCTATATTAGAGCCCGATGGGCAAATAATGATTATATCAATATTTGCACAGCTGACAGAGCATAGCTCAGTTGGTCACACCCGTTCGGGTTGATTGAGAGAAGCGATGAGACAAGTGCTTCGAATTGCGTAAAGTTTTTTTTATAGAAGTTCAAGTCATTGAATTCAGTTCCTCAAGAAGTAGAAGTAAAAACACATACATATATATGCTCATAATCAGTTATAATAATAATAATAATAAATAAATTAAAACACAAAAATGAAGGTAACCAAAAAAAAAAAAAAGTCCGGCACAATCGTTCGCACATTTTGTTTTTGTCTTGGTTTTTTTTTTTTACTTTTAATATTTATGATATAATAAAGCTTAAGCAAACGGAATTCATTCATGCCTTGGCCGCCTTGACAATTATCTAACTGTATCACATATATATATACATATATATTTCCATGCTATTTATATGCCTGTCTGAGTAAATATTTGATTGATTAAACATTTGCCAGGGTGATCTAAACTAACTTTGCTCTTGATAAAATAAATCAATCAACTATAGAAAGTTGTCCGAATTCTGATGAAATGTTCACTGAAAACGTCCAGATGTCAAAAAAATAGTCTATGAATATTTATACATATGTATATGCAAGATATCCATTTTCTTGAGATATGTATGTACACATACATATATAAAATTTATCATATACAGTAATCATTAATGTAACGGAGATCGGTCTATAAATTATTTAAAAAAAAAAAGTTTTCAATATATTAAAGATAATTTATTTGCTGTCTTTGAACAGCTTTGCAGAACTTGACAATATAGATACTAAACTTTTTATATACTTAAAAAAATAAAAAATATCCTCTTATACATAAAAACCCATAGAATATATAGCTCTAACAGAGTGTTAGCCCTCTTGCACGGGCTAACATAGCTCAAATTCAGTTTTTACCCACACGCCTTACTTTAACAGTAAATTCAACACACTGTTAATGCGCTCAACAAAAACGTGTCGCAACTAAAAGCTTTTGCTGTTAAGCTTAACAGCATGTTGAAAAGCTACCTAACAGCAGACAGTGCTCACACAACTGTAAGGCTGTGCGCTTAGCATGGAACACAACCCAGCGAGAGCTTGAAAGCTTTTGAGGTTTTAGTCAACAAAATTTATATTTGTTGAATCTTTTTTATATCATTTATTTAGTTTTCTATATCTAAGAGCTTTTTAACTGAAGAATAGATTGGGGAATTATTTATAATATTAAAGAATATGTTAATTAACATGGCATTTTCGTTTCGCAGCAAATCTCAAACCTCGAGGACAATGACAAAATGTTTTTCGATGTGGAAGATCAGACGCCATTCACGGGGTCTGACAACCTGCAGTCGTATGCGCCTCTGATCGATGACTCCCCCGTGGAGGGCAACTGGTTCCATCAGGGCGTCAGGCGTGTGCGTCGCGAGCTGACCCGGCTCTTTGGCAACGACGATGTCCATCACAGGCAGAAGCGCGCCAAGAATCCGGCTGCGAAGAAGGCCAAGCGACAGAATCGAGCGATGACCCGGAAGCGGGCCTCCGACGATGATGAGAGCGAAATTGGCTCCGGAACCTATGGCGTGGAGACCGTTATATGTGAGTGTCCAGCTGATTCAGTCAAATGCAATTGCAATTGTAATTTGTAATTTGAATTTTCTCTTCTTCTTCTGGTTCGGTTCGTAATCCGTTATCATGAAACGCAGACCGCACACGATTCACCGTCAACGAGCCGTACTCGAACGACTTCAATGATAAACAGAGCGAGCAGTTCCTCAATCTAACCGAGGAGATCAGCCTGGGACTGCGCGATCTCTTCCGGCGCAGCTACGAGAACGACGACGATGAAGTGGATTTGCGCAGCACTGTGCTGCAAGTCGGGTAAGTCCATTACATGCAACATTAGCGCCACAAACCAAAGTGGGCCATGCGCTCCTCTGTGCCCCTGGGCGGTCTATAAGAAAAGTTGAATGAGAAATTCGACCTGGAGTACACCAAGAGAGGCCTCAGGCTCTCTGAATCTGTGGGCTGCTTAAGCGCGATAATCATCCATTTTTAGTTTAGTTGATAGAAAGAAAAGGAAGATATTGGATTTGCCAAGGTAATCAAGATTGAACTGCCAATGGCAATCATTTTGATTGATTGATTGATTTACATTATCACAGCTCAACTTGATTTGATTTCACTAGAGTCTTACTAATCTACATAGATATTGTATTGTTTCGCTCAGTCGCTTGCTTCATTTTTGAGTCTACATTCAATTGAAACAGTATCTATGGTGATCAATCTGATTGCTTGACTGATGTACATAGATCGATTGCCAGCTTTAGAGGTCTATCATTTGTAAGGCCTACGAACGATATATTTGATGAGTCAAGCGAGTGCAATTGTTTGATTGATTCACATTAATGATTGACTTCAATCAATATTATTCAATAAAGAACATTTCTCTATTATGTGCAGAGCTATATGATTGTCAATCTGATTGATTGCTTGATATCTATCCCTCCTATCTCGCTCTCAATCATTCAGCTCTCTGATCGATGAATATTTAGCCAGATTATTTAAATACTATCACCTTTTGTGGCTTAGACCCGATTAAGTCCAGAGATATTTGTTTGTCAATCAGATTGATTGATTCATTTAGTGATTGGGAATGGATCCCACCTTAACCAAACTCTACTTAACTTATCTAGAGTTTAGCTTCAACCCCTGCAGAAGTACTATGTGATGGTCAATCCGCTTGATTGATTGATTACTATATATATATTGCAAAAGCCAGCTGTGGCCATGCTGTCAATCGTCTAATTACTCTCCCCCTCTCTGACCTAGGCCCACGAGCGACAGGTACAAGAGCTATGTGATCGTCAACCTGGAGATTCCCACCAATGTGGTTGACTTTGAGAGTAAGCTGCGCGAACAGCTGCAGCACTATAATCGCATTGGCAACCAGAGCGCCTCCCTGGACGATGATTTCTACTTCCGCTTGACATTGGGTAAGTTTCGCCTCGGGCACTGCAAACCATGGCCAAAATTCCTTAGAGCCCATTTCGAACCGATGCTTTGGTGTTGGCCAACGCAAGCTCGCTCGCTCACACTTTCAAAGCTTTCGGATAGTGTATATAGATGAGCTTTGAGCTTTAACCGAGACTAAAAAGCTTAACTCTGCATTGTAAATAAGTAAATAAACCCAAAGAGTATGTCGAACTGTTGCTAAAAACGAAACAAAAACAAACAAAGCATAATGCACTCACCCCCTCCCCCACTCACACTCCCACACACACACACACACACACACACACACACTTACACAGATAACCAGTGCAGCAATCCGCGGGAATTTGATTTTGAGGAGTTCACCTGCGAGTCGGGCGAAATCGAGAGCATACCCTGTGCGAAAATATGCGATCAGCGTGCCGACTGTGACGACGGCTCCGACGAGAGCGAGGAGATGTGCCTGATTCGCCGGTTCCCCAATCCCTATGCAGTGTCGAAGGGTACGCAGAGCCCGTCCTATGCGGACGGGGACAACGATGCCGACACTGATCTGGATGCAGACGATGCGGATGGCGATTTGGATGACGATGGCGATGCGGATGGCGATGCCGATCTGGATGAGGATCAGTGCTTGTCATTGGATCAGCCATTCCAGTGCATCAGCGGCCGACCCTATCATATATCCTGCGCAGACATCTGCAACGGCTACAACGACTGCGAAGATGGCTCCGACGAGAACCAGGAGATGTGCGATCGCCGCAATAATCCCAGTCTCTACAATAAGAATGTCCCCGACTGCGAGGAGGACTTCCAGTGCGAGTCGGGCGACAAGCTGAGCACGTCCTGTCACAATGTCTGCAATGGCCGCGCCGATTGCGACGATGGCTCCGACGAGGATCCCGCTCGCTGTGCCGGCCGCACGCCCCTGGCCCCCAGCAGCAACTCCAGCGATTACTGCGTCAAGGACTCGTTCTTCCCGTGTCGCAGCGGCTCCATCCCGAACATACCCTGTTACGACATGTGCAATGGGCACGTTGACTGTGACGACGGCTCCGATGAGGAGGCCGATCTATGCCGTCGACAGCCAATTTGCACCGGCGAGGGCGAGAATCAAGTGTGCCAATATGCGCCTCGCAACAAGGGTTCGTCTCCTCCCTCTCTCTCTCTCACACACACACACACTCTCTGTGTCTCTCTCTCATACTATATATGTATATATATATATATTTGTTGTCTCCGTTATTGGGCACGCTGTGTGTTAGGTCAGGGGAATAATACGAACACAATATGTACTAAATATACTAACACTAACCCACACACCTACACATACACACACACGCACACACTGACAAACCCTAATCTCATTTGAAAGCATGCTAGACTAATAAATAATTAATCTTTTTAGCATTAAGTTTGACTCTGTAACTGCGCTGCATTCGTTCCCACTTTTTCGCTCGCTATCTCTATCACTCTCACCTTCTCGCTCTAAATACATCTCTGTCTTACTCTCTCTCTCTCTCTCTCTTTGTCTGTATCTTTTTGTATTCCAAATATTCGTACGTATCGTCCCTACTCATGCGCTTTCATTTTGTACTCGTTTTCGATAATCTCCGAATGGATATATAATCTACGAAAAATATAAAAAAAAACGATATCCCCGATTTGATCAAGCAATAATAGACATTGGTTGGCATCTATAAGCACAACGGGTATATTGGTTTTGTGCTGTCTATGCGGTCATACATCCACAATTTGAAATATATACAATATACGAATGGAAAGTCCTAAAAATGATTAGAGTATATTTAAGCCGAAGTTGGGCAATTCGTTTACCTCTGTTCGTTAGATTCACTTAATCGGTAATATTTAGTATGAATCTGGTAATAATTAGAGTCAGACGCTTAATATTAGATGATCATATGTGCGTAGATCGTAAAATATTGAGCATCTACAATGGATTTAAATATTGACTGAATATAAATATCACAGCTAATAGATCAGGTAACTTATATATATTCAAGACCCTTGGGGCTGTGGCAAGTATACCTCTTCAAATGGATTTATACGTATATGCCATAAGTCTAAACTGCTTTTGCAGACTGTTTACACCCTAGTTTTTCTGATCAGCGTAAATCGACTTTAGCTACTCTGAATAAAAAAGGTCACATTGATGATACAAAATTAAACATCCCATTTCTATGTTCAGTTAAGTGTTCAAATGACTCAGCTCAACCCAGAAATGGGAAGGAATCTATTGTGCTGCATGACATGGTCTTGAGTTTGGCTGGAGTTTAGACAACAATTATGGAACCTGAGGCTCACAGCGAAAGAAATCGTTTCCACATATTATCTACGCTCTGTCACTTCATTCTCTCTACCTCTCTCCCTCCCTCTTTCTCTCTTGATGTCTTTCTCCCGCTCACTCATTCATACTGTGTACGTGTTGGGCTCTATCCCTAGTTCTCTCATATAATCTCATGCGTATTTGTCCAATGGTTTATATTTGATACAACAGTTTTTGATTTAAAACACTGCTAACTTTTCTTTTGACGTGCCCTCTATGTATACCAACACACACACACCTACACACCTACACACACAACATAGATCCCAACGCCCCTGAAACGCCCGAACCAACAGACGAGGAAGATGGCTCCGGCGAACCAGAGTGCCGCGGCGATGCGACGTTCTTCTGCTACCGCTCCAATACGCGCGTCTGCGACGAAATGACATGCGATTCGAAAAAAGACTGTCCGCATGGCGAAGATGAGGAGGATTGCCCCAAGGGTAATGATCAACAATTATTGAAACAACAATCAACATTTATGCATTCGCATATCGTTTCATTCGAGAATCGAACCGAGGATCTGTCTAGATCAAGTTTCATTTGTTCAGTCCAAAGAATTGGAATCAATCAAGATCTGAGATTGTCATCATCAGCATCATTGGCCTCATGAGCATGTTGTGTAGAACTTTGTTTCATCAGCTATTTTCAAATCGATCTGTTTATGTTGATTTATTTATTTATTTTTTGTTCTTTTCTTTCTTTGCCTTCGATTTTGCTTTGCAATTTGTTGCCCCACTTAGTTTGCACCGATGAAGAGTTCAAGTGCGACGATACCTGTTTGCCCCTGCAAATGCGTTGCGACGGCCAAACGCAGTGTGTGGACCAGACTGACGAGGCTGGCTGCCCCCAGAACGAAATTGATCAGCCCAATATCGATCAAGACCAAGATCTAGACCAAGATCAAGATCAAGATCAAGATCAAGAAAATGAACACGAACAAGAACAAGATAGAGATCGTGAAAATCCGCGTATACCCGACTCCCCGCCACAAGGTGAGTTTTTTGCTATTTAAATTAATTTCCTAATTTCATTCATTTCATTAGTTTTAATTGATTCATCGAATTCGATTTATTTTTTTCCATTTGAAAATTTTCAATTTCTTTGACTCGACTCAAAAGAGGTTGAATTTCTTTTATAGAATTTGCAATATTCATTTGCTATTTCATTATAATATTTTGCCCATATCTTATGATTTCTTTACTATATACCATATATATATATATATATATATATATATATATATATGTG